TGTGTAAGGAAGAACTAGAGGAACTAGGATGTTTATTCTGGAGGAGAGGGTACAGAATTGCTGTCTTCACAGATAAAACAGGCTGTCATGTAGAAGAGAGGTTAGATTTATTCTGCATGACTCTGGAGGGTAGAAGAAGGGCCAATGGGGTAGACTTTGACTCAGTGCGGGAATAGTTTTCTGTTGGTTACACATGTCCCTGAAAGGAGTGAACTGCCTCAAAAAGTAGTGATTTTGGATCTTGAAGACAGCTATGCCTAGGCAGATGGTTGCTATTGTATAAATGATCCTGGGAAAACCCCCACGAGACTAGACATAAAGATCTCCAAAGCTCTCCCAACTTTAAGGTGCTGGTTTTATATCTCACCATCTCTCTGTCCAGCAAACATATTTCTTGAGCATCCTCTGTATACCAAGAATAGTGTGGGGATGTGGAGAACTCCAGGCACTCACGGAAAACCAGACCTGCAAACAGCACCCACATCACAGGGTGACAAGAGCTGTGATGCATCTGGGTGTGTGAAGTCTCAGAGCCCCAAAGAGGGTTCACCCATCAGCCCTTGGATGGCAGTGCCTGAGCAAGTCATTAAGTGGGAGTTGGCCAGATAAAGAGTAGAGGTTAGGGCATTGCAGCATGAGCGCTGGCCATGTGCAGAGGCCTAAGGGAGAGACAGTGTGGGTGCAGGTGGATGGGAATAGAATACAATGGAGCAAGAGCTGGAGCAGAAAGTTCCTTAAATGCCAGTATGACTGTTTGAATTTAGACATTTGTATTAGTCTGTTCTCATGCTGCTATAAGGAAATACCTGAAACTGGGTAATTTATAAAGAAAAGAGGTTTAATTGACTCACAGTTCTGCGTGGCTGGGGAGTTGTCGGGAAACTTATAGTCATTGCGGAAGGAACCTCTTCACAGGGCAGCAGGAGAGAGAATGAGAGCCAGCAGGAGAAATGCCAGATGCTTATTCAACCATCAGATCTCATGAGAACTCACTATCACAAGAACAGCATGGGGGTAGCCACCTCCATGATTCAGTTACCTCCCACTGGGTCCCTCCCATGACACGTGGGGATTATGGGAACTACAAAATGAGATGTGGGTGGGGACACAGCCAACAGCCAAACCATATCAGAGTTGAAGCTTGGAAGTAACCTCATCTGATTTGCATATTTGAGCGGTGGCTCAAATGATATGTTTGAGGATGGAATGAGGGGTTCCAGAGGAACCTTCTCTCTGAGTCTCAGGTCTCTTACCTCTAATATAAGGGACTTGCACTATTCCGCAGTATTCTATGATCATAAATTCATTTCTTGTCTTTCTTTATAATTGTATTAGATGGTCAGGCCCATGGTGCTCTAGGCCTTACCAGCCTTTGTGTACAGATGGAGTCACATTCACAGCAACACCCAGATTTCACTCATGCTTCGCTTCCCTGTTGTGCTTCTTAGGACCTCCAGATCCCCATAAAGGTCTTACCCAGTTATTCCTGGAGCCTCTGGGGATGCCTAAAGGGAGCTCCTAAACTGACCCCTCCTGCTCGTTACCTCATACTCCTTGTTGCCAGTGTTAGCTGAACCCACCTGAGGGTGGTGCCTCCCCATGCCAGTCCTGCTGGTGCCAGTGCTCTCCATGACAATGCTGAGGTCCCTGCCTAGTGCTGATGTTCCTGGAATTGCAGCTGTCACTGCACTTTTCTAGGTTTTTCACTACAGCACAGCCACACCGTTCCCCAAAAAAGTGGGGGCAATGGCCTACTTCCTTTGGGTCATTTACTGTCACCTGGACAGTGAGCAGTACTAGGCAGGTCCTGTGTTTCACCGGATCCTTCTTGAAATAGCTCCTTTGTTTCTGCCTATAATTCCACGGCTGTGGAACGTGTACCTGAGGGAGACACCAGGGTTTTCCCGCCATTCCAGTTTCCCCCAGGATATCCAAAGGTCCTCCCACTCCTGGCCCGCTTTCCTTTAGCTGAAGATAAGAAAGATAAGGCAAAACAAACTATAATCCTGGCAGCTTTACCCACCAGGTCATCAAACAGACCTATGCCTGAGACTTTTTGTTGTTACTCATTACTCTATGCCTGGCTCAGGGCTAAACCCTTCTCATACATAGATCTCTAACCCTTGGAGGGACAGACTATTAACATCCTCATTTGTAGACGAAGATGAGGCTAAGAGGAATTAAGTAACTTGCTCAAGGTCAAACAGGTGACAGAGCTAGAATTGCAAACCAGCCTAGTCTGGAATATTCCAGATACCACACTCTTCACAGGTCCCCAACAGTTGAACATAAACACTCAATAATCTGTATAATACATCAAGTGCCCACCTTTCTCATTGTCATCTTTGTATTAATTCAAAATTGGCTTTTGTATCCAGGGCTGGGAAGAAACGGTGGATGCCGCCATTTCCCACCTGTTGAAGACTTGCCTGTCGAAGAGTTCGAAGGAGCAGGCTTTGAACCTCAACAGCCAGCTGAACATACCCAAAGACACAAGCCAGCTGAAGAAACATATCACCTTGCTCTGCGATAGATTAGCCAAAGGTGGCCGTCTCTGCCTAAGTACCGATGCAGCAGCCCCACAGACCATGGTCATGCCAGGTAAGAGCTCTGTCCACACTCCCTAAACACAATTATACTTCTCCCAAATTAAAGGAAATGCCTGTGGTTGTATTTGGGGTTTACATTTCATATTAAAGTGACAATAGCCAAGGCAATTGATTTCATGTTTCCCCTCTGACATCCCAGGGTAACCCCTTGAATAAATATTCTTGAGATATTTGCTTGCTAGACATTTCTAGAATGGTATGTCTTTTTTCTTCTCTCTGCTTTTAAATATACGATCCATTTTGTTTGGCTTCTAACCAATAAAAAGTGGATTAGAGGATAAAACTGTTTTTAAGAAAAAGTTTCACTAAATGTGATCTCGCGATACAATATTTCATAAATGTAAATAGCATGATACAAGCAACTAATGTAATCCAGATGAGTCCAGTCTCTTCTGCTGTTTGTTTGGCTTGTGGTCATCAGAAGAAGGGGGAAAGAGACAAAGTGAAAGGTGGGGATCAAGAGATGTGAGCAGGCTTCAGAGCCCGGGCACCCATGAGCCAGCATGGAGAGAGATTCCACTTGCCCCTCCATGGACAGTCAGTGATGGTCATGGGCACCCAGGACTGCCCTTCCCATGGTCATAGGGACTGAGCAGTTAGTCATGCAGCCCTCAGGTCTCTTAGGGGCAGCAGTTCCCAAGTCCTGCTTCCCTCTTCCTAGCCTGTCTGTGGAAGCAGCAAGGAGCATTACATCAATGAATTTATTGATGCGGCAGCTGTAGCATCTCTTTCCTCCTACAGCAAGAACCATAGTGTGGGAAGTGGTGTGATTTTCTCTTCTTCCTTCTTACATGCCTTTTCTTTACCTCCCTGCCCCCATTCCCTTTCTGGTAGTCTTGCTGTTGCTTCCTTTTCCCCCTCAATCAGCATTCCTAGAAGTGAAAAGGAATGCAAGTGAAACTGTAGAAGATAAACATGGAGACAGCATAGCATAATCTAATAGGCACAGACTCTGGGGACAGACAGAACAATGCTTGGATCCTGCCTCTTTTTATCTGTTACTACTTATATGACCCTGGGTATGTTACTTTCTTTTCTAGAATCTTCATGTCTTCCTTTAGAAAGTGAATGTAATAATGCTTGCCCTGCCGCTGGGGCCTTACGAGTTTATCAGGCACCTAGCACAATGCTTGGAACAGAGACACCCTCAAAAAATTCAAGCTATAATTACTGTCATTGTTATGGATATATGCATGATTCAGCCTTTAAATTTGAAAGTGGAAAAATAGCTGGTTTGGGGTTGTGGCTTCTATATTCTATGATTTGAATATCTTTACCTCAACTATACATAGGTAGAAGCCAACTTTATTCCAGAAGAATATTTTTTATTTGGCCTTTTATAATAGAAACACCTTTCCATAGTTCTGACATTGTTTGCCTTCATTTAGAACCTTTTTATCTCACCCTGTAACATCCTCTTAACTACTCCACTTGTCCGTCTTCTGTCCACTGTTACAAGATTGTTTTCTTAAGAGATATTTAGGCTTAATGAGATAGTAAATGAAAACTATTCATTATAATAAGTATCAGTTTATGACTCTCCCTCCCTGCTTGCCCACAGGGAAAACAAAGGAGACTTGAGGGAAAAGGACAGATATATTAATTTAAAAAAAGGAGAGAGAGAGAAAATTTGAAGAGGGATGGGATGGCCCACCTGATTGGCTGCAGCAGCCCTGAATCCTCTTCTCTGGTCTCTGTCTGAGCTTTCCTGTTCAGGGATCCCCATATCCCTGTCTTAGTCATTTTTGTTTAAGTAACTAGATTTGTAAGTAACATAAGGGCTGTGTCCGTATCTAGGATGTGGAACATTTTAAAACCTCAGTGCAAAGTTTTTGAATGTATGGAAGGAAGGGACAGAGAAAGAAGGAAAAGAAGGAAGGGAGAAGGAAATGAAGAAAAGAAGAGATGGACAATGTGTTTGTTCACAGGCCAGGGGGCCATCAGCCAGATTCATGCTTGGTCTAGCTGAGTTTGTTCTGTTGGAGGGATTTAGGCTGTGTGCATGTGCATCAGGGTCAAAGTCATAATGCCATGCCTTCACTTGCCAACAACCCACTTGCCACTCTGTGGTTGAATGGTTCTCCCTCCCACTTGTCTTGATCTAATCAGGATAGTGAGGTTTTAAACAATTGTTAAATTAGCACTTGTTGTCATTAACATGCTTAATTACTGCCTATACTACTTTTCTTCCCTATAACTCAGATTTTTCACATGCCTTATCTCTGTATTAGCATATTTTTGAGGTAGAAGAGACATGTAGAATTATTGCTGTCTCAAAATAGAAAGTGGAGGCAGGAAAATTGAAATCTCTTGCCTGGAGTTACATGGTTACTGGAAGGGTTAGGTCTAGAATCCAAATCTCGCAGCCCACTGTGCTTCCCTCTAGACCACACAGACCACAGTGGTACAAATCTATTTTTAGCCAGAGCCTCCTCCTGTGTAAGCTATTCTTGATTCGGCCTTCCCCCCAGCCCCGCCCACCCCCCCACTTAAATTGGTCTAGCAGTGTGAAAGGAAAAGGGCAGAAAATAGTTTCACACAGTCTCTTTTCTTTGCTTTGCTATGAGAAATATAGTAAAGATTTATCTTATATTTGTTTTGTGCTTAATTTTTATTATATCCAAAGGTGATGTGATAACATTGTCATGAGTATTTCTTATTAAGAAATACTGTGAGGAGTTATTTTTGCTTCAAGCCTGTAATTGTGCAGTTTACAATGTTGGTTTAGCTCCAATCATTGTATCAGAATATACAAAGTGACATATTAGAAAGGATTAGATTACTGAATATATAAGCATACAAGCTTTTCTTGCAGAGATGATCTTTTTTTAAGATTTAGATGGGACCTTAGAAATCGTCTGGTTCACCTCCCTCACTTAACAGCTGAGGTAACGAAGGCCTAAGAAGGTGAAGTGAATAAGTGCTCAGTATTAAAAGGCAGGAGTGTGTGCAATTTTGCCATGTTGCCTATTAAATTGCAGATGGATAAACATCTCAGAATAAAAAACCCTTGGTCTTTCCTAGCCTCATGACTTTATGAGCCCAGCACCTTGGATGTGCCCTTTCTTTGCTCTAGTGAAGGCCGTGGTGACAACATCCTCCCTGGTGTCCAGAGTTTGAAAATCTTTCCCAATGGTAATTACCTTATGAACTTCTTTGCCTCACATTTCTCCTGCTTGACTTTACCAATTCTGTATCAGTTTTTCCCTTAACCTTTTCTAGTGAACTTTTTATTGTTGTTGCAGAGCCATCAAATTTATTTCTCTCATCTGCAGTTCTGATGTTCACATCATTCTGCTGGTGAATATAGCTTGTAAGGAGTCTACTTTCATTAAATATCTATTTTCCAATCTCAGCGGTATGCATTCTACCCTTAGAGCAGAAGTCACAGAGGGCCACCTGGTTTGTGTATTTTAAAGATCTGAATGTAAGTGATTTAGTGGTCTAGCTGGCCTTTTCATGCATATATGTTCCCAGCCTTCTCCCTGCAGCTGCCTAGGACTAAAAGACTTGCTGTATTTTGCAGGAGGCTTCCTTTTATAACCTCAGTATCTAGGACAATATTTCAGTAGCCCTAATTATGGCAAAGATTTGAACCTCTCAAGCATATATGCAAAACTTAATGTATACATGAGTGGGCCTAACTCATGATATTTGAAGTCTTATCATTTTAACCTCATGAACACTGGAGTTTTTGTCACCTCTATGCTTTTCTTAAATTTAATTTCCACTAGGTGATACCTTGCCCAAGAAGTGATATAGGTAAGTGATGGCCCATCAGATAGAAGCTTGGAAAACAAATGCTGTAGGCACCACACTGGGCAGGCATAGAAAGTTGGGCAAGGAAAAGGGGTGTAAAGACAATTCAGGCTGATCAGGTGCCTCAAGTGAATATTCTCTTAATGTGATCAAATGTCTTCACATTTCATAATGGGCCATAGCTTCAGCTGTATTTTCTTTCACACTGCCAGATTCCCGGGCTAAAAGGAAGCCAAGAGGAGGGAGTAAAAGGAAGCAAAGAAGGTTTGATAAATAAGATTAGGTATCTTATATAATCCATATCTTTTCATAGATATGGATTTAAAAAGTTATCATTTTGAGATGTGGTAGGGACCACCCAGGAATTAGCATTTTGTGCATCTTTATTGTATTAAGTGGATAGGAGAAAAGACACAGTATGAATCTGAATACAGAGTATAAATGTGAATAAGATATGTATTCTAGCCTTTTGAGAGAGAGATTTTAAATTCTCTTTAGTGTTTAAATCTTGAGTTAATGACCTTTGGCCTTAAGGATTTGATACTATTTTGAGGCTACTTCCAACTGGCCCATTTAAACCGAATTTAAATTTAATTCTCCCAGGTCTCACTTAGATGCTTGATAAGACATTTGGTGTTTACTTTCATAATTGTCAGTGTGATTTAATTGTTGGTTTTACACTTTGAGTTTTTATAAGTTTGAAGTCATTCTTTAAGGAAATTTAGATGAATTAAATATACAAAAATGGCTTCTGAGTCTGTTTTTCCTACAGAGAATACAATACTTTATCTTGACATTAAAAAAAAAAAAAAAAAAAGGGAGTGAGTTCCAAAATGGGAAAATGCTATTGTGAAGTGAACTTCACATCAGAAATATATGGGTTCCAGAGCTAAGCTGACCAGTTATATGATATGGAACAAGTACTTAGTCTGTCCACTTCTTTGTTTTCTCAACTATAAATAGGAAAAATAATGATACTTCGCTATAGATTTGTTGGCCAAATTAAATATAGTAGTACATGAAAAATGCTTAGCAAGTACCTGACACATAGCAAATTCTCACTAAATGTGAGCTTCTGTTAGTAATAATGATGAATACTATTGTAAAATCCCAAAGGAACTTGGGAGAACTTGACAAAAGGATTCTAGAGTTCAATTCAAAGAATACGATTATAAGATTATACAGGTGTTAGGTTCCAGCCCAAGCAGAGGTCTGAGGGGAATTGTTGGGGTA